TGTGCCAGAGATGTCTGCAAGTTTGGAGCTTGAAGCTTCGTCAATGTCGAAAAGATCATACCAAATTGCCGGTTGCCGCTTCAGTTTTCTAATTGACACTCAAATTCCCCATCATTATCATCAATTAAAATAGCCTATTTGAACAATATGGACCAAGACCAGGTCTCATAAACATAATCTGAATTCTGATCTGCCTTGTTGAAAGAGGACAATATATATATATGGATGGACACATTCAATGGAGCGAGAGCATGACAGTCCGAACGTCTTAAGAAAGGACTAGAAAATGGACCTATGGAAAGACGAAGCTTCCCATGTAGACCATTCTGTATATATATGTACGCATGGAGATTTATAGTTTTTCAGCAGCCTCAACTCTGACCTTAACTCAGACATCAAAACTAACTTCTTTTGTCTGATACTAATCTTAATTACCAGAAATGGCTGCCTCCTTCATTGGCTTCCTCTGCATTGCCCTCGTGCTTTCCTCTCGCAACGGTTAGTTTTACCCATATCTAATTAAACACCCAGTCGCGGTCTTTACCATTTCCTCTTCTCAGATTTCTGAGTAATATACTACCTCCGGTCCTAATTATAAGAGTCAGTTGACTAATTTGAGGAGATTAAAAAAGTAAGTTGAGTTAGTTATTTGTCCTAAATAGATGTTGTCTTTCCTAAAATATCCTTGCTAATCAAGTGTATTGATTAGAACTATCATTGTTAGAAGGATTACTTTGAAAAAAAATGTATAAATATGGGGTCTTATATTTAGGACCAAAATAAAAGTCAAAGAGGATCTTATATTAAGGACCGGAAGTAGTAAGTAACAATCTGTACCAATTTATTGACAGTCTTTATGTATATTCTCCCATAACTCGACGTTTCATCATAAAACCATCCTTAGGATCCAATATTATGTTTACATATATTTTACATTACATTTGTTGATGTTCATGCAGAGAATAATGTTGAGGCAGCACTTTGTGGGAGACCAAGCGGGAAATTTTCTGGGATTTGCACCGGCAATGATAACTGTAATAATGCGTGCCGCAGCGAGGGTTCTGTTTCGGGAAGTTGTCATTTTGATGGTTTTGCATTATCTTGCTTCTGCCTCGACAATTGTAAAGAGTGAAAAAGTCTCACAGCTTATCACGCATCTGCCTAGCTTCCTTCATCATATATGTTGACGTCTGCGAGTTCCTTTCTCTATGTATAATAATGCCTAACTTAAGCCATACGATTTAATGTGTCCGATGGGTTTTTGTTTTTTGTCCTCCGTCAAATTAAATGAAAACTTGTCCTTTATCATAAAGGGATCAGTGTTGCGTACAACGAGCATGGGGCTAAAGATAATCTTCAGACCTTGATGTGCTGATTAGATTTTGTTGTATTGCACTGGAGTATTTAATTTCAAATTCGTTAGAAGACTAGATTGAAATTTCACAATACAAAACAGTGCCACTCTCCTTAATTTTTTTCAATTATTGATTACGCTCAGTTGTTGTAATTATGCAAGAAATAATATGAATTTGAACACAGATTAATGATATATAGAGGAAGTTGGAAAAAAAAAAACAAGTCTCAATTATAATTACTTGAATATGATTGTGTAAAACGTATAATTAAGGTCTATATGTTTGAAATCTTCATTTACGGATGATGATCACATTTTGGAATTAATGAGACCGTGATGTGATGTATGATCACATTAGGACATAATTAAGGGCTAAAGACGTAATAAACACTAACAATATTGAATCATGTTAAATCATAAGTTGCTTAGTTAATTAGGAAATACCAGAACGGTGCGCGGTGGTGGTTAGTTGGCAGCAACCGGGAATGGCGGCCAGTGATGATGGTGGCCAATCGCGACGGCAAGTAGGTACCGAGGATGACCGCCGATGGTGGCCAAATATAGCATATTTTTAAAAACAAAAATAAGGAAATGGAAACAACTCCTAGACGTTTCCCTTTTTTGGTTTTAAAAAGAATAAATGAAAACAGTTATGAAAATATTTAGATGCCAAACACTCACATCAGACAAGTTTTTAAAAAATAAAATGATAAAAAGAGTTCTTAAAAACAAAAATCAAACAGACCCCTATATATATTTTCAAGCCTCTACTCTCTCGGTTTTCTTAGCATCAAATATCTGATTAGAAAAATCCTAAACAAATACATTTTGAATTTTAAAATTTTAAATAAAAAATTACTGCAAAAATGTGTTGTCGATTGATCTTTAAGCACAGTCAATTATTATCAAAGTATAGTAAAACATATTAATTTAGAATTTTAAAATTCAAGAAGTATTTTTTTTTGGGATTTTTCCTGATTCTTGAAAGTTCTTTATAAAGTCAACTAGTTTGTTAATGTGTAGCCAGGCGTAATAGTAACAAGAAATTGAAGAGAGAGGCATGGAGAGGAAGGAGTAGCGAAACTGATCCAAATGTCGCCGGACAGCATACACTCGAATCAAAGAAAAAAACAAAACAATAATTCAATACCAAAAACAGAAGAGAGCGAGACACGACAAGTCCAGTCCTCGGAAAATCCGAATGTTAAAGTCCACGAACCATCCATTGCACTTGAGTGTGGGTGTATGTGTATATATGACATAGCTTCTATCTCCTTGAACTCCAAACTAAACCAGAGATATAATTAGGGTTTATAACCAACTATGGCCAATTGCATCAGGAAACTACCCACCAGCTGGGCTTCTTTTTTCTGCATAGCCCTTCTTATTTTCTCAGCCACTGGTCAGTGATCTTCTCTACTTCTTTGTCATCTGATCTCTCCCGTACTATACGTTGGATATGTTCTTTTTCATGAATTTCTTTCATTATATATATGAAGCGTATTTCTTATTTTGAAGCAGAAAGGGTGAAAGCAATACCAGTGTGTGGAAGGCCAAGTGGAACATTTAGAGGGCCGTGTATCATCTCATCTAAATGTGAAGAAGAATGCATTTTGAGAGAGAATAATATGATTGGAGGAGAATGCCACGTCTTAGCTTGTTACTGCAAGTACGACTGCAATAATCCACCATAGCTTTGACATATACACATACATATACTATCCCGCTTCTAAATATAAAAACTAGTTTGTAGTGTAATTTATATTACAAAGTAGCTTTTATATTTATGACTGACGGTAGAATATATCAAACTCATCACGCGTCACTATTTATTTGGGGAATAAAACTCCTGCATCTATATATTGTCACTCATGCATATGTTCGTGTGTGTGTGTGTGTGTGTGTTAAAATATAGTTCTACTACTTCTTCCTCGTGTATGGGCTGCAAACAAAAAAGAAATGAAAGTACTTCACCTAAAGCACTTCATGAAAGCAGCCTTTTATAATGAGTTGCTTCCCCCCGAGTACAGTATCGTATTAGCTAACACGGGAGATTCGAGCTCAGCATGGTCTGATTTAAACAAGGGATGCATAGTTCTTCAAGAACGTCTTTTGAATTCACACAGATTAAATATGTAATCACGTGCTTAAGCAGTCATAGTCGATTTTTTTCTTACTAGAATCAGCCCCTGTTTTTTGTGAGATAATGAGCACATGTAAGGGAAGAAATATGTTTAATCAAGGTTATTATAGTTTTTTTATTAAGGAATTAGTCTTTGCAGTTACGCTGATCTTAGTTTGGTCGCGTAAAGACCCTATACCTTTACAAAACCAGTTTCAGCTTATCATTTTGATGAGCATTTTTAAACTCATCAGATCTTGATTATTTATATGTTATTTGAATGATTCGGATTCTATTTCTTTTTTATTTTTATTTATTCAAAATAATTATTTTAATATGCATAGAATCTAAAATAGAGATAATCTCTTAACTATCATTATTTTAAAAAATAATTTTTTCTATTTAAAAATAATTAATTAAATATTTTAAATCTGAACCGTTCAAATCATATACAGACGATTCATATCTAATGAGTTTAGGGTGCTCACCAAGATGATAAGTACTAAAACTGATTCCATACTCTTACCTAATAATCATTCTACATCAACCACGTCATTAAATGCCACATCTCTAGGGACTTAATCAAAGTTGATCATATAAATTTAAAAGCTGTTTTCACAATGAAAAAACGACGAGATCTTGATTAAGTTCGATCACAATTAACAAAATAAAAACTATGTATGTTTTCCTATATTAGATTTGAGAAGGCAATAGAAGCGCGAAAGTATTATTGCAACTCACAGGGAGAGAATTCTGAGGTCACTAACGGAACGACGTACACAAAAAAAAACATGAAATAAAAATATATACGCTATGAGCAGAAAATATTGATAAAGAAAAGGAAAGGGCAATGAGATTTATTTCTATGAACCTATCTTATTAGGTGTTATGGTAAAAAAGAAAAAAATTCTTACTACTAGTAGGCATTGAGTTGACACTTTTCAAACTTCATGTTGCGTTATTCCGATATGTAAGGAAGCCAAGTCCGTCTGGCCTATGAGGTAAACTTTAGAATGACAAAGGTGTCTTGAATTTTGAAGGACGATATAAAATTTACAAATAATTCAAAAACGTAAAATCATTTCGAATGTTTTAAATAAAATATTTATTCTGTCAATTTTTAATAAAATTTATGAAATAATTATTAAATATAATTTACAGTACAATATACTCCCTCATTTCTTTCTTTTGTTTTGGGCGTACATACTCCCTCACTTTTAAATATAAAATTTAATTAGAGAGTTTATTTTACTCCTGAATGTAAGACATTAATTTATTTTCTCTCCAATTTATACTTTTTCCTCAAATTATCCTAATTAATTATAAGAAAAAGGGCCGCATCATTTAAAACCATTTGCCCATCTATTTTCCATCATGTTCTCCGTTATTCTTTGACCTTCAATATTCTTATAATCAATGTCTCTCTCTCTCTCTCCCCCTCTCCTTTCATTTTTAAAATGTCGTACAATGCTTACCAAGTCGTAAGTAAGAAGAGAAGGAGGCATGTGGAAAGAGCAGCGAAACTAATCAAAATATTGCAATCATAATATACATGTCGCCGGACTCCGTATGTACAGTACACCCATCGACTGGGGAAAAACAACAATAATTCAACACCAGAAAAAGACAAGACCAGCGCTCGGACAATCCACACAAACACTTCAATTATATATGTGTAACAGCTTCTTCTCGAACTCCAGCCAAAGAAAAATGGGTAGTTCAATTAGGAAACTGCTCACCTTGGCAGTCTTTTTATGCGGGGCCCTTCTCCTTTTATCAGCCACTGGTTACTGATCCCTCATCTTTCTGATTATCTTTGATTTCTTTCATGATATATATACATATATATATATGCATATTAATCATTACATTGCAGGAGTAGAAAGGGTGCAAGCTTTGTGTGGGAAGGCAAGTGGAACATTCAGAGGGCCGTGCTTCAGCTCAAGCAAATGTACTGAACTGTGCAGGACAGGAGAGGAAGCCATTGGAGGAGCCTGTTACATCTTTGCTTGTCACTGCCACTATGACTGTCGTAACCCATAGCCTCTCTTTCTTTTGTGTGTGTGATAGACAAACTCACCACCACAACTATTCACTCTCCGCTTTGTGGTTTCATTCTTTACTTGGGGAATAGACTTCATCAGTGTTTGTCACTTCTATATGCATAACAATTATTCACATGGTTTCATTCTCATACATACAATTAGAGATTTCATATGCGAATTAAACGACATGAGTGGACAAGAATGTCTGTGATAAATAACAATACCTGCTAAATTACCAGAGGATGGTAATGTCGGAGGAACTTGCCCATGAGGTCATGATACTGATGTCGAATTCCGACTCGTCTTGCTCTTTCTTCAGACACTGTCAATAAGTAATCTTGCACAAGACATAAACATAAACAGTCATACACCAAAATTAATTGTGCTAAGTACAATAAAGGTCTTAAGTTTAAGCCTATTAAATAAAAAGTTATGTTAGAGAAACTTTCCCTTTTAGAGCTGACGTGGTTTGTATATGAATTCATTGGTATCATAATACCTGTCACAAAGGTAACAAGATGCATATAATCAACGATATGTTATGTTGGACATGGATTGATCTTGGGTTATTCCTTAGAGAAAAACAGGACTAAGTTTGCGCGCGAGACACAATGAGATGATGCAAAGTCTATAGCTAGACCCCCAGGTTTCTATTCAAGTATCTCCTGGAAGCGGTGAATAAATTCATCTGATTACAGAATCATTATTTCCATAAACTGCAGTTAAATACTCCATCTTTACAAATATTAGTACCATCCCACAACATGGGATAATTATTTTTAAGCTGCTTGATGAATCATGATTATATTCAAAAAATGACGTGCAGGCTAAAATCAATTATGCAGAAGGTCACTTTATACAATCTGATCTTGTTTGGTATAAATTCATCAGTGATTCCAGTTTACCTATTTTTATATGCCAAGTCTATCTCAAAATCTCTCCAACACTATCACATAGAAAACGAATGATCAACCTATGATTCATCATCTCGTTTTAAACTTTGGATCATAACAGTTGAAATAGCCTAAGAAGGCAAATCATTGATAAGCACCTTCTCTGGGGTTTTTCCCCTTTAATTATGGGGACTTGTTTACTGCAACAGAGAATATTGTTTTCGCTAAAGCTCTGAAACCAAAATATTGCTCCAGGTTGAGGATTGAAGCATTTTGAACAGATCTCATGAATCCTGAATTTGCAAGGGGATGAAAATAATCCTCAGAATATATATAGTTACTCGAAATTTACAGTGAAGAGAGCTGGTACCCGTGGCCCCTGCTTTGATTACCACAGTAGGTAACCTGTCATAGCATCATTTCTGTTTGCATCATATTATATGGCATGCAATGTCACGGGAACAAAGTGTCGCATCATAAGGAATAACAGCAAAAACGATTGATATTCTGGTCATGTACAAGAGGCTTTTTATCAAATAAATCAGATTAAGACAGAGAAGAATACTAACATTCAATGGGGCAAGCAATGCATTGTATGCCAGCAATGTTACAGTATCTACGTAGGTTGGATTATTAAACTCCACAAGTTATAGAAAGCAGAAATGCATCACCTTGGATTTGTATACGGATTTTCAAACAAAATTGGTTCAGGAATGGAAGCCAAGGTTTGAGATTGCAATGGGGAGACTAGCAGTAGTTTCGTCCTCTTCGAGTGAATCCTTGATACTAGAAAGCTTCGAGGAATGTTTTTTAATGGCAGTGTAATTGTTAGGAATCAGGTTAGTTCTAGTCTACTGTAGTACCTTCTGTTGCTTTTCTTTTTTTCTTTTTGGGCCAGGTGGTACCTTCTGTTGTAATCTAATGTTTCTTCATCAATACATACATATATATATATATATATTCATGATTAACTTGGGCATTTTTCTTTTGTAATTGGACCTGAAAAATGATAAAAGAGAGTGTACACGAAATGCAGTGGACCAAAGGTAGTGAAGGTAGGAAGTTTGAAAACAGAGGAGACTCTATGCTGCTGCTTAAGTTTGAGTTGGAGGTGAAGGTGCACAGGTAGGCAAAAGCAAGGATGAATAGATGCTTTCTAAAACATGATCATCTCTGCAGATCATTCTTGTTCTGTTCTGTTTTTGTTTTTCTTTTCTGTTATTTCTGATTTTTTGGGGAGGCTTCTTCAAGCGGAGGGGAAAACAACAATGATAAATACAAGAGATTTCTTTTTCTCAAATTAGTTTCTTCTTATTGACACATACATTTCCACCTAAATTTGCATCATTTCTTGCGGTGAATCACAAGGTCTTGATTACTGCCACAAAATGAAATTTGAAACTCCGAGACATAACAGAAATGTTGCGTTTCCATCATTAAGCAGTCACATATTGAGTGTCATTGTGTTAACTATGTTCTAACTAGATATTAATTCTTCTATCATCCCCTGAAGCCCTGGACCTTTTCTGCTCGATCATATCAGCAAGTGAGAGTCAACTGAAACTTTCTTTTGAATTACTAATCCACTACGATGCTATCACATAATTCATCGGATTTTGATCATGCCCAAGATGATCCAACTCGTTTCCTCTCCGAAGAGTGTCAATACATTGCAGTTGAAAAGAACATCGTAGAAAAGAACATCACGGTTACATAAAACCAACACAAAATTGAAGAGAGATGCCACTGACATACTTCTTATTCTCTTCCAGTAAATTGAGAGATAATTTTGAAAACTGCATAAAGATAACAAAAATTTCAAAAGGCAATCTCATGCTTTTTTCCATACTTTATTCATTACAGTACTTCTGAAGTACGGATACATTTCTCAGATACAGAACATGACTTCCTCAACACAGATGACAATACCGACTTGCAGAATCAAGAGATTAGGAAGCGAGATGAACAAAAGAATAAGATAATTATAGTATATGCACAGTATATTACGCAACTTATCCAATAATTACCAAACCAGAACAAAACTCAAGCCGTGGACATGACAGAGAGCCTGCTCGGAGTCGGCCGGAAATTCAGCCACCTGAGGGCCAACCTTCGCGGCGGCGGCGTTAGAGCCCTCCTCAAGATCTCCTGGCTCGTCGGACGCTTCTTTAGCCTCCTCTCCGGAACCGCGTACCCGTGACGCGTGCACCGGACCAAACCGGGCCGGTTCGAGCAGGTGCAGGGGGGCCGTGACTTCAGATGAGGAGATGACGTCGACATGAGACTGTGTTTCCGATCAAGACTAAGCTCGTCCATTTTGATTCCGGAAAGTGAAGATTTTGAAGAAAGCTCGGTGCTTTCTTTGATTTGCCTACCAGTACCTGCCAGCATTTCTGTATAAACGGGAGGTTTTCGGATTTCGTGAAGCTGTGGTGTTTGGGTTTTTGAATTACTTTTGGAAACTATGAAGGGGAAGGAGTTGTGAGGAAGGGATAGGATTTCTTAAAGCTGTGGTTTTAGCGTTTGGGTTTAGAATAGCAAGTTGGGGGAACTTATAGGCAAAGAAAGAGTTATGAAAGAAAAAGGAAGGTTCAACAAAAATGGCTCCGTAATTTGAATGGCTTGACCAAGACTTGGTAAGGTTCTCCGAGGGGTTGAAGTCTCGAAGATGACCAGAAAGTGAAGGGCGATAAGGCGGCAACACGTTTGAGCTCTGACTTGTCCACTTGTCCTAAATTTATTGAAGTGAATTATTTCACAACATCAACTAAAGTATATGCATTTATTCCCCATAAGCAAAGGGAAAATAAATTATTTAATATTTATTTTACCCCAAAGTACTTATGCTATTTTACCCCAAAAAAAACACGAGAGTAGTTTGGTGTGGAAAAAATTAAAGTAAGAGAAATTTTGGACAAAAATTAAAAAAACAAAAACAAAAGAGAGAAACCAAAATAAATTTTCTAACTAAGTTTAGAACCGAAGCTAGTGATGTTGATCAAAAAGGCAAGAAGAAGAGGAAGTCAACATTAATCATTTTTGAAGCGAGGGCGAGTAGTTGAGGTGCAATCCCACCTGTCTTCAACTTAATCCCAACATAATTTTAACACTGCCATATACAAGTAAATAAAAAAAAATATATGTATTTCTTTTTTTATGATAAATACAAATATATGTATTTCAATACATCATCCATATTTCAAGCCAAAAAAAAAATGCATCATCCTTATCAATTAATACTGCTATAAAATATCAAAATTTTTAGCCTTGCGTAGAAAACATTATACCCAATTTATTTAGTTATGAAAATATCAAACTATTAACAATTAATTATCATTCATAATAGTATTTTAGACAAGATTGTCTCCACTGAAAAAATACTTGTGCCTACCAAAGGAAAAAATGACAAAAACATGTTGAATTTTCAAACAACAAATAGATCGAAATGACTACTTTTATAGTAATGATTTTGACTATTTTTATAATATTCCATTCTTGAAATTGCGCATATCAAGGGCCACCTGATTTTATTTAATATTATAAATAATTAAGAAAGTACTATCTAACTGAATTGCTGGGCTGGGGAGAGGTATAGTCCAGTTGTGAAATGAAATGAGAAAGTAAATGAGAGATCACAGAGGGACAAAAGGCTTTATGTTTTTCTTTTAGTTTTGGTTGGTTTATTTGACTCATTCCTTCTGCTTTAATTTCTGGGCTTGCTTCATATCTACTTTTCTTTCAGAATTAAATTAAACCTACCTGACAGCAAATTTTTAATTTAAAAAAATTATGTAAAAGTCAAACAAATAAAATAATTGTTGGCAAAAAAAATAAATAAAATAAAATAATGCCACAAGACTAATTGCTATTAATATATAGTATTACGTGTGATGAATGTACAACATCATTTGTAAAATTTAAATAACATTTCACCTTTTGAAGAACTAAAATAAAGGTTGAATTCATGCGTATGATATTTCTGCCCATTCCTCGATACATTTTAAATATGTTAATGCAACTTTCATTTTTTTTTTAAAAATAGTTATTTGGGCCGTCAATCTATAGCGATCGCCTTTTTATGGTGCCTAAATGAGCCGAAGAGGCCCAGGTGAAAGCCCTACAATACGGTGGATGTGGATTGATTCTAGTCTCTGTACAATTAAAAATATAAAATGAAACAAATATAAAGAGAAAAAAATATTAAATTTTACATAAAATTTTATTTTTATGTCAAATTATTTTTAAATATTTTGTGGTTAATAATTTATCATCAAGAATTTTTAATATTGAAAAAAAAAACAGTATGACACCACTCTATATGTGTGTGCGCGCCAATGTTGTTCTTCGTTTTTTTTGTTCTTCGCATTTTGTCGTTACATTTTTTGAGTTCTTTTCATGAATAAAAGTATTTCTTATAATGGATTAAAAATTGATTTCTCTTTTTCCTAAATGACATTCATTTTCATCTTAGGAACATATCCTTAAGTAGTTTTTTTTTTATATAACATATTTAAAAGCTTTTCAAACTTGTGCATATTTTATTTCTACGGAATATGTGTTTGAAAGACCATACGTGTGTGGCTTCGATTAATATGATATTACCTCTAGTCCTTAATACAAGAGTTTATTTGATTTTTATTTTGATCTTAAATATAAGACCATAATCCATTTTATCTCTTATATATATTTATTTTTTTCTAAGATAGTTTTTATAATAATGGTAATTCTAACCAATACACTTAGGTAATAATATAAAATATTTTAAAAAAGACAATACATATGTATTACATATAACTAACTTAACTAATTTTCTTAATATACTAAAATTAGTCAACTTATTCTTATAAGATCAAAGATGGTACTTTTTTTTTATTGAAGGCAGAATCTACCTACGCATTAATGGTCAAGAAACACAGTTTGGAAAATATTTGACACTTATGTTGACGGTTGGATAATCATAAAAGACAAGCATCCTCAGATGTGGAAAACGGAGGGATCAAGCTTCAGAGGTAGAAAAGTCATATATCTTTTACAGTGCACATTTGTCTTCAAAATGTACTTTCGCATTTTTATAAGATAAAACTTCTCTTAAATACTACCTATATTGTGCAAAATTACTTAAAACAAACCGATCCAAACTAGTCGAGCAGGTTAAGGTTAATGATGCCTGTGTTCATCAAAGTGTGTGGGTGTGTTTTTGGTTCATAAAGAAGTGATTTGGACATATAAAACGCAATATGCATGTGAGGAAAAATATTTTTATTTCACTTGATATGACAAACAAATACCTTTATTGAAAACAGAGCTGTCTGTTTTTCTCATTCATTATGTACTAAATAAGCTTAGGATTCTGTGTTGATGTATTCATTATGCATAAAGTGTTAGGGCTGAAATTCTTTTGTGGAGATGTGAAGATAAGGGAATTGGTAGCTAAGTTACGTGTGCTCAAAGGCAAAGCTGCTAAGCAGAAGGAAATTAAAGAAGATGGAGGACTGCTAGGGTTGATATTGATTAATCTTGCTCATATTGGAATAGGTGGCACTTTTATATGGAGGGATATGTTGAAAGAAAGCGAACTTGTTTGTTAAAAGAATTGGATTGAGCTCCGGTTGAGGTCATGGCTTAGGATTGTTTTATCTAATAACAACATGATACTAAATATAAGATTTCAATCTATTTTATCTCTTATATTTATCTTTTTAAAAAAAATCGGCATTGTAATAATGATAGTTCTAACCAATAGTAAAAATATTTAGGAAAAATGACATTTACTTATTACAAATAACTAACATAACTAATTTCTTTAATTTACTCAAATTAATCAACTAACTCTTATATTAAGGACAATAAGTAATATCTGATATGTGCCAATCTATATATCCTGCTTCTCAGAGTTCAAGAAGCTGCGTTCTGCTAATAGAATTGTAGCCTAATGATATTTATGCTCCTCTATAAATAGAAGGTTATGTGACATGCTTGTAATTGCAAACAATTAGTGTCTCTTTTAAAAACCAAAAAACTAGAACAAAAGAGAAAGCTGCCTTCTAATATTCAAGCCCACTGCAAATATTGAGCAGCTACTTGGGTTCAGGCTTCAAGTTTAGTCATGAAAGATGATACTCTCTCTGGTTCTAAATATAAAATCTATTTTATAATGTAAATTACACTACAAAATAAGTCTTATATTCAGGACCGGAGAAATATAACATCAGTAGGGGGAGAGAGAGAGGAGCAAAACATGGGACAAATGTACTTATTTTGCCTAAAATATTAATTATATATTTACTATATATGTATTGCATTGGTTAAATAAAATAGTGTGTTTGACTGTTTTCGGTGACTTTTTAAAAATTCGTCCTCCCCCCAGAAAATGTTGTAAAATATGCAAGTAATATAAAGCGTTATGAGTGTTGCATAATACAACCTATTTTTCATACTCCGTGTCACACACTTAAATAAACATAAATTAATTAGCATAATTAGGTATTATTATAAGTTTAACAATGAAATTAAATTTATGGTTTTAGACATGAAATAAGTAAAATTGAAGTAACACTTAAAAAAAAGGTTTTTTTTTTTACAAGACTACTTTTTTAGGAAAAATAAGACAATATTATACTTGGGAATATTTTGGTCACCTTTTGGTCTCAAGTAAAACCCATCTATATTTTATATTAAAGAAAGGGGCGCCATATAATTTTTAAATTCTCTCTAAATCCACAGATAAAAATGATATAAACCTTAATTATTTCTTTTATTCATGTCTTATCACAAAACTAATAATATAATATTTAAATCTAGTTACTAGTAATATATTATTATTATTCTTATTATTAAATAATAAATGGCAAGAGGTGGGCCAGTGCCAAAGATAAGACTTGACGCAAATACAAGTTGAGGTTGATGGCTTTCCATATCAATGAAACCTTACTTTTTGCATGGAATCCTTACTTGCTAGTTGCCTTTATCCTACCACCTTCTCATTTCATTCTCATCAACACTCTCATTCTTTAATTTATTTAATTCTCTTTAGCCTTTTTTCAATCCATAACTTTTTTTCAAAAAAACTGGAAAAAAAATGATTGTATTCACCGTCAACATTAAATGCACCAAGTCAACATCTACCTCTATCTTATCATCATCAAAATTCAAAACCACTCAATCCCTCCCCCCAAAACAAAAAAATAATCTCCATTTTCTCCCACTGATTATCATAGTCCTCAAGATTAGGGCTTCATTTGATTTATTAGATGGGTGAGCCGTACGATATACTATACGAATCCGATAAAGTAATTATAGTTTACTCCACTTCATTGAAAAAAAAAATTATAGTTTACTTCACTGTAGTTCGAAAGGAATTAGTCTGCCTTTATGTAATTTATCGAGGTGCGTTGATCATTCAATTTTTTTATAATATATATTAATATGTTCCGTTAATTTTTTTATAATATCTTGTTGCAAATTATAATATAAAACTAAAGGTAATTTATATCTGAATCATTTTATAGTACTTTCGTAACTATTAGTCTTCAATTCAGTGAGACACAATCTGAAAATAAGCTTAAAGGGTCACATATGATGATTATTCACATAATTATTATATCTGTTAAAGGGTAATGCAAACAC